TGTGTGTTCTATTTAATGATGCACAGAGGCACTTGATTTGATTTGCCGCTCATCGGTGAACGAAGTTCATTTTTGGGAAATTTAATTAACAATTTTGTATCGCTTTTATTGAGTGCAGCACAGCCGGGCAGCTAATTATAATGGGGATTTTCCCGGTACGTGCAGCATCGATTGTTGCGTTTTTGTTTTCATTGCACAAAACCCTTTCGTAATTAGCCTGGCTCGCATTTTAATTTTCAAAATTAATTAGTTCAAACAACAGTGCGGCGCCGTTTTTACGTATCCATAATGCTGCGTTGCCAGCCGCCGTGTCTCCTGTTTTTGGCCAGTGGAAATTATTTCGAACAGCTTAATTCAGCGCGGCCATTAATAATTTTATTTACTTTGCTGCTGCTGCCGCTGCTGCTGTCCATTATTTATGAAGAGCCGCTGGACATGTGCTAAAATGTTAATTTAATGTTTCTGATTAATCTCTGATTCCTTTGGCACAGAAACTCGAGCTTTAATTGTTGAAAGTTCCCCCAAATTCGGATCATCATTGCTAAACCAAAACTGCAATTGCCCAGAAAGTTGTAGTCATCGATGTCACAAGTCCCCCCTGCCATATGAGACATTTCCTAATTAGACAGCTCTGCGCATCCTTTGGCACACACACACACACACACACACACACACACACACGTATCTGCAGGATGCCACCCACGCACAGACCCAAATTGGAATGAACGTCGAAAACTTTCAACGCCACAGTGAGGCATTGCGTATGGTTTAAGCCTTATTTATTTGCGGCCATAAATAACGCTTAACGCATCTAAATCTTGAACTTTGTGCGAATGCGATGAGAGAGAGATGAGAGAGAGAGATGGGGAGGCCAGAGAGTTGTTTACCCGGACTAAGGCTAACTCGACATGGCTTAAACGGTTGCCGCCCCGCCACCATTCAAAAGCCAAAAGTTAGAAGACAATACTAAAATTGTAGGTATTTCTTTTTTCAAGATTTATGAGCATCCCCTTTTTGCGCTCCCTTGAAGGGTAACGCAGCGCTTTATAAAATGCTTTAAAGTTCACATCGAAAGTTTCCTTTTATTTCGTGTGTGTTTCTGTTGATCTTTTGCCATATTTTACTTTGAACACACCAAACACAGGGAGCGACAAGTGAGTTGTTTGATCCGAAACATGAATACGCTTCCTTTTCCGGCAAACTCTTGGCTAGCCTTCACACACCAAGTGCTGCCCTTCCCTGTCTGCCGCCAAGCTAAAACTTGTGTCCTGTCACACAGTTTTGGCACCTACTCCTGCTTTGTTCAACTTTCTTTTTTGCGGTGTTGCGTGAGTGAATATTTTTGTTTGGCAACGCAAAACTCTGGTTGAGGAGGCCACACAGACCTGACCAAAAGCTTTCACACACTTTTCCCCGGGCGCTGTGGACTTTGCTTACGAATTAACATATAAATTGATTTTTCGCACAAGCAAAGTGTTGAGCCTTTGTGAATTGACAATTCGGGATCGAAAAGGTGTGTGTGTGTTAAATTTGCTTGTTCTTTAAAAATAAATATGAGATAGTTTAGATAAAAATACACAGCGATAGTCCGGCTGCAGTTGTTTGGTAATTGGTTTGCCGATACAAAACAATTTCAAGCATAAGCAGATGGCCTGGCTGTAGCTCCTTTGCCAGAGCCCTCCAACTGGGTCAGCCGGAACTTATATAAATTACGATGCCCTCATCCCACCCGGACAAGAGGGAAGTAAGAAGTAAGCTTAGACTTATTGTGGTGCAGATAAAGCTGCAATGGTTATCTTTCAAGTAACCGCAAAATCCATTTAAATTACTCAACAAAGACTCGCACGGGCAAAGGCTTAGGGTAGCGCCAGATGCCAGTGAACGTTTCTGGCCAAGTTAATTACACTTAATACGCATGAAGAAATCCCTTTTGGTTATTTGGTGGACTTGTGTTGGGAAAATACTACACGAGTTCTACACACTCGGTGGAAGGGTTGACGCAACTTAAACTTGATTTCTAGCACCGAATATTCGGGCAGCTGGACGTGTGACTATTAAATATTTTGGCAAGTATTGTCAAGTGCGATCAGCAGACCAAAGGAACGGGCGGATGGAGGGGCTCTGGTGCAGCAACAGCTGACAAAATTATTCTAATTGCCAGTCAATGAACGTTGGCTGGCAAAACAAATTGAAAATTCCATCAATTTGGCAAAATAGTCGAAGAAAGAGCCATGGCCGGACTCCGCATCAAATTATCCTAAAGACGTTGACATTGCTCTTTGTGCTGAAACTTTTCGCAGCAGTCCTTTGTTCGTTTCATTTGCTGCAGTCACCGAATTGATTTGTCAAGCGGCCACATTAAAAATTGACAACTAGACAAATGCGAGCCGAAGCTGCCCGGCAATGGGCTGTACGTGTACGACTCCCACAACCCACATCAGTCGCTGGATGTCGGACAGAACAGCGTCTCTGTTTATTGTCAATATTTTATGAGTTTGAATTAATTTGAAGACATTTCTGCAGCTGCCCGATGCGTATCCAGGCACGTTTCGGGCTCTCTGCCTGTTGTTTGTCATCCAAGTTTTGCACTTTGACATGCTTTGCTCTTCGAGGGCCACTCCAAGTTTCTTTTTTCCTGTTATTAGTTATGCAAATTAAGGTGTGTGCATGCGTGAATGCGAATATTTAATTTCAACTTTACTACGAGTGTGTGACAGCTGATGGAGATCGGCCCAAAATGAAGCCAGTTCTCGTTCTCTTTTTTGCCTTTTTCCCACTTGCAATTTGAGATTGAAGAAGTTCTGACTAATGCGAGTCCGTTCTGCTGCCAGAATGATAGTAAAAGTTAAAAGCATTCCCAGTTTTAATTTGATTTCATTTACTTATGCATAGCTAGTAGTCAGCGCTCTCTCTCGCTCTGTGTCTCCTAATCGCCTTGGCCTAATGACCGACAAAGTTATCCCTGAATCACCTTGAATACGGATTAATTCATGTGAAATTAGAGCAAGAAATACGTTTAGCTTATGCATAATTCTGATTTGCCTTCCTCTGGCCATAAACCACACACTCTGGATGGCTGTTGGCAGCTTTTACTTCATGCACAGTCACTTCCGAGCTGCGCACTAAGATTTGGTAACAAACATTAATTTTGGTTACCAACTTTGTAGGACAAACGGGCAGCCAGCAGACATATCGAGCGATATGGGGTCGAGTTTGGCATAAAATAGAATTGAAATAACCATACGATAAGCTCAATTTGTGCGCAGCTTTAGTGGCAGAGATAGACAGACGCCGCCATATTTGTGCGTTGATGTGCGTCACTTCCGCTTGTAATTGTAGCTACAATGTCACAATCACCAGACCATATAAGCGAAGCCAAACAACCGGCAAGAGACGGAAGGAGTCTGTGGCAAGTGCCACTGCCACTGCCACTGCCACAGACACACTCGCACATAAACAACCAGCACAGCCACGAGGACACTCTCATGCTGGGTGCGGAGTTGGCTTTGTGTGCGCTTTTAAGTGGCTCTGCGTCTTGCCCACTCGGGTGCTCCACCACCAAAGTGAAACTTAGAAGAGGTACGGTGGGCAAAGTACTGCAAATTAGGAACAAAATGTATACAATTCTGGGAGCGCGTCCCACTGTCTATGCCAGTCCTCGTTCCTGCTTGCTACAGCCAAAGGCAAAGGCCCAAAGACACTCGTGCGTGTGTGTGCGTGTGTGTGTGTGTGTGGGGGAGAGAGAGCTCTCTTATGCTTCTACTTGGATTCGGCAATATTTACAAGTCACTTGTTTTTATGCCTACATTAATTATGCGCGCCTCTGACTTTGGTTTTTGGTCGTAGCCAGAGCCAGAGCCGGAGCTTGGTGCTTGGTGCTTGTCTTTGATTTTGATTTTGATGCCGCTGCCACAATTTGTGCTTGGATTTGGTCTCGTGTTTCGTGCTGCCTCTAGCTCTCTGGCATCCCTTTCTCACACCCACGCTGAGGCTCATATTTTTGTCGGCTTAAGTCGCCTTTTGGGCATGGGCTTACGGCGCTTCCAATAAATTTCGACACTCATGTGGTGCTGGCTGCTGGCTGCTGGCTGCTTTAAGCCTTGCTTTTAATTGCTGTGCGTTTAAAAGTGTCTCTCGCCTGGGGGGAGCTATCTGTTCGACTGCCGCTGCTGCTCATAAATGTCAGGTCGAGGCAGCAACTGGCTGCATTAACTGACCCAGTTGTGCCTTCCTTTTGGCACGTCGCTCGTCGCTTTCCTTTTGCCTTTGCCTTTTAATGACATTATTGCGCACTGGAACGCATAATGCGCCAGTGCGAGTTTGCTTGCTGTGGCCTTGGCTGGCTCTCTATCTGGCTGTGCTCATTTTGGGCAGACAACTGGGAATTTGTGCGTCTTGAGGCTTGCTCGCACACGGCACTCGGCCTTGCTGATGCCTTCAAGACACAAGCGAGACCATTGCCTTAGAGGCACTCATGAGAGTGCCATGGAAATAAATATTTATCTCTCCTTCAGTTCAGTTTATAGCTTTAACCTTTTCTGCAAATATTTCGCATTGAGTGCAGCAGCCTAACTAATTTTTTCTTGCTTGCATTCCTGGCTTGAATTCCCCTTGAATATTTTTGCTCTGCGTAGCAGCAGAAAAGCTGAAAGGAAATTCCTCAATCCTCCAAATGGATAATAAAGGGCGGCATAGTTTAGTTTTTATTAAATTCTTCAGTTTAATTTCCACTTATCCTTTTTACACTTTGCCTCTGTTATTATCGTAATGCATTTTAAATGTAATTTAACTTAGAATATAAATTAATAGCTAGACTGTTTGCTTTTCCTTTGGTTGCTCGTCTGTTGGATTCTCTCTTTTGTCTTTTGTCTTTTGTCTTTTGTCTTTTGTTTGCTTAATGTTTGGGTGACCTTTACTGCCAGCTCATGCAATATTTTCATTTATTCATACACATATGTTTTGCTTTGGCTAACAACTAACTTAGTTCGTAACTCCTGTCCTTTATGTGGTAGAATATTTAAAATTATTTTTTTACCTTTTGGGCAGATGCCAGAAGCCTGCCAGCAAATTCTTCTCTTACATATTTTTCTTTGTGTGTTGTGGCTCTGTGTGTGTTCTTTGTGTCGAGATTTCAACAATTTTTACTGCTTTTTTCTAGGCTAAAATTTTGTTTTCTAAATTTAGTTTCTCTTGCTATATTCCTTAGGGTGCAGGGGTTTGGGTGAACATAAAACTTCCTTCCTCTGTCAGCGAGTGAGTGGGTGAGTGAGTGAGTGAGTGTTTAGTGTATAGTCCTTAGATCTAATGATTCATTTATGCAATTTACATTATTCCATACTGTGCTTAAATGATTGCTTTCTTCTGCTCTCCCTCTCATATGCTGTTTTGGTATTGCTAATTGTTTTTTCTGCTCCTCAAAGTCATCCCCCTCGGCCTGGGAGCGGCTTTGTGTGCCGGGCATTTGAATGGCCATTCTAGAGCTACATTTAGTTAGTTAGACACTTTGTTTAAGTACTAATTTACGATATCTGCTGTGGATGTTACCCGGAAACACTTGTGAAGAACTCACTTCTGCTCTGCCTCGTTTGATATACCGAAACTCAGGGCCGAACATTCGAGATTCGGTCAGGAAAGGTTTCTCAAGACTTTGCTTAGTAGAAAATAAATGTCATAAATTATTTAAATGCAACATTGGGGAGGGGGAGGGGCGGATGTGGCCCAAATTAAAATTTCATAAACTAGAGCACACTACAAAGGGGAAAACCCTTAATGCCACTCGCGATTTTCGGTGCGGAACACTCGACTGGCCCCGAAGCATGCTCGGACTTCCTGCGTCCCACTCGAGCCAAAAGGCTCCCAGTCGGAGGTGGAGGTGGAGCCACAGCTGCAGCTGGGCTCAAGTCCTTTGTGTCAGGTGTCGCCATGGTGAAAACACATGCCACTTGCCTCTGAAGTGTGGCACCGACTTGGAGCTGCCATTGGAATGGGGTTGAGGCACTCTGGCTGAGTCAATTGTCAACGAGAACCCGGAGGCATGAGGATTGGAGGATGAACAACTCAATCGACAAGCCGACAGACCCACAAACACTCCACATGTCTAGTCGTAGGCCCTGTATTTCCTTCTAAGCTCTCCTTCGACACTCTTCTCTATGGCTCCCAGTCTCTTTTTTGTGTTCTTTATGTGGCTTGTGTTGGCTGTTGGCTGCGAGGCAGCCCAGAGAAAGATGCTGAAAACTTTATATTAAATGAAAAAGTTTTTCAATTACATCAGCGGAAATAAAACGCTGCCAGGCTGGCACTCGAGGCACGGAGCAAGGAGCCGGCAGGCGGCAGGCGGCAGGCGGCAAACAGAGACAAACAAACGGCGACAAGAGCCTTTTGTTTAGAGGCTCGTCATTGTTTTTCGGCTTTATTAGGTTAGGCCCCGCCACTGCAGGCCCATTGTTCCATACTCTAACCCAAACTGGGCTGCTCCTGCCAGAAAGTACCCAAATAATCCAGAACTCATCCATTTCGTATCGAAAATTCAATGCAAATTTTACATGGAACACTTTACGCTCTCCGAATGTTGTGGGAAATGGAAAAATCTTGCTTTGGTAGGAGCATTCAACCTTCGGTTTGCCTCTGCTTTGGGTTTTCTTTGTCTTTGTTTGGTTTCGCATTTCTAGCTGTGCCAATTATTAGGTTAAACTTCGGTCTCTGCCTCTTGTTTGCTTCCTTTGCGCGCTGGTTGGCCCAGTGGGTCGATGGAAACAAAACAAAACAAACAACAGAGGAGCAAAGCAAGTCTTGAGTAGAGTTTTAGGTATATGTTTGTATGTATCTATGTATCTATGTTATCAGCGTGCCTATTTACAGAGCAACTGAATCGTCTAAGGCAGCATCAGCTGGCGTGGGGCCACCGTTTGGGGGGCCTTGTCAAATGTCGCTCGTCTCCTGGCCATCGCCCACATAGCCCTCGTCGGGGCTGTCTGCCAGGGGACCATTCAAGTGCTTCAGCTTCGAGGTGTCTCCACTGGCGCTCTCCTCCTCCGTGGCAGCCGCGTCTGGGGGCGTCGCGGCACTGCCACTGCCACTCGCACTGGCCCCTGCTTCGGAGGACGCTTCCTCCAGACGCGGCGAGATGGGCTCGCTCTCGTCCAGCTCCGGAATGGTGCCAGTCCCTGTGGAGGTCGATGCTGTTGCAGTGGCTGCTGCCGGCGGTGGTGGTTGAGGCGGTGGTGGTTGTGCTTGGGCTTGTGGTGTGGGCGAGATGGCTGCCTGGGTGGGTGACTGGGCGTAGCGATAGCCGGGCAGACAGCTGGGCCACTGCTGGAACGGAGCCGGCAGCATCGCTAGATCGCTCTTATAGCCCTCCGGGGGAGAGGGGAACTGCTGTTGCTGCTGGAGCTGCATCTGCTGCTGCTGCTGCTGCTGTTGCTGCTGCTGCGGATAGCCCTCGGCGGTGAATCGTACATTGGGCATCTGGTACTTCTCATAGCTGACAGGGCCGCGCTGGATGAACTCCGCCTCGAGGCTGTAGCGTAGACTCGAGTTGGGCGCCGCTGCGCCCTGGAACTGCTGCTGCTTGTGCAGCCGATTGTGTGGCAGCGTTCGATAAAAGTTGGCGGCAGGCTGCGGTCCAGCTGGCTGCAGCTGCTGCTGCTGCTGCTGCTGCTGCTGCTGGGGCGATTGCTGCACCAAGTGGGCGCTGCTGTAGTCGTAGGCGAAGCCATCCTGCCCCAAGAAACAAACCGGATTGAGGTGGACATCGACTTGGTGGGGCGCTGGCTGATGTGTGCCCGCCATCACTGACTTGAGTTGCATGCCCCGCGGCAGCGTGGTCATGGCCTGTGTGAAGCGTCCCATCAGTGGATGCGCGTGCGGATGCTGGTGGGGATGGGCATGGGGATGGGGATGGGGATGAGCAGCGGCCAGCTGGTAGCAGCCCTCGTACTGCCCACAGTCGCTGGAGGTCTCGTAGTCCCCGGTGCCGTCCAGGGAGACGGCCGCCTTCAGCTTGTGCTTCACGCTCTCGGCATCGTTGACCAGATCGGGATTCTTCTCCTGGTAGTTGCGCAGGGAGGCGGGCGGCGAACAGTAGGCGGCCGCCAGGCCATGCCCGTTGCTCAGGAGCAGTGGCGGCGAACCTGCTCCACTGCCCATCAGATTGACATTCAGCTGGAGCTGCTGCTGTCCCGCATTCGGTGTGGCATACAGCAGGAGATTCTGCTTCATTTGTCCGCCCAGAATAATGCCACCGCCAGCTGCGCCATTGGTGGCCTTTGTCGGAGTCATCGTGTCCCCCAGATGCATGCCTGAGTTCCCGGTCATACTGTCGCCGCCATCGTTGAGGATCGAGGCGCACTTCATCATGCCCATGCCCGTGTCCTGGGTGCTGCCCGCGGAGGAGTCTGTGCCGCCTGCAATGCTCGTCACCTGCTCGCACTTCTTGCGCTGCTTGGCCGGCTCCGAGGTGCGCTTGCACTTGACCACAATGGTGCAGAGGAGAACCACAAAGATGATGCCGCCGCCCGCACTGCTGGCCACAATGTAGTTCATGTAGTCGCGCGGAAAGGACACCTCGTTGACCACCGGCGGCTCCTTGATGATCACCCGCAGCGTGTAGTTGCTGAAGGTGGTGCCGGCAATGTTCTGGCCCACGCAGGAAAAGGTGCCATTGTCCTCGGCGCCCACGTTGTAGATGAAGATCTCGCTGCGCTTCTCCTCGGCCCCGCTGCTGCCGATGCTCTCGTCGATGTAGTAGAACATGTGCAGGTTGTCCATCAGGCTGTCGTTGCTCATCACCTGGCCGTTGAAGAGCCACAGGACCTTCGGCTCTGGAATGGCACGCACCAGGCAGGTGATGGACATGTTGCGCCCCTCGCTGACTTCCGTGTAGCTCGACTGCGGACTCACCTCGGGCAGGCAGGCCAGCTGCTCCCTCTGCAGGCCCTTGATGACCTGGCCCTTGAGGCGGGCCGGCTCCATGCACTTGGGCTCCTCGGCCAGTGGAGTGTTGTAGTTGACCAGCCAGGAGTGGATGTCCAGCAGGCGGCAGTCGCAGTTCCAGCGATTGCTGTGCAGGCTGATGCCGTGCAGGGACTTGGGCAGGATGTGGTTGCCCTGGATGAAGCCGATGCGATTGCCGTCGAGCCGCAGCCACTCGAGATTGTCCATGCCCACGAAGGCCTCGTTCTCGATGCGCTCCACCTGGCAGTTGGACAGCTCGAGGGTGGTCAGGAAGGACAAATGGCGGAAGGCCGAGGTCTTCAGCTCCCTGATGGGATTCCCGCTCAGCGAGAGGCGCATCAGGGAGCTGTAGTCCTGGAACGTCTCGCTCGGCACATGCTGCAGCGCGTTCTCACTCAGGTCCAACTCCACGAGATTCGTCAGCCCTCGGAATGCCTTCTCGTGTATGCGTATCAGCTGATTGCGGGACAGATAGATCTTCTGCAGGTTCAGCAGATCCATGCGCAGGAAACGCTCCGACTGCAGCACCTGCAGCGAGTTGCCACTGAAGTTCAGCACTTGTGTCCCCGGATCCATGCCCTCCGGAATGTTGGCCAGCTGCTGGCCACCGCACTCCACGGTCTGCTTGCCGCCCTTCCACTTGCAGATGCAAACCTCCGGCGGGCAACCGGCGATGATGCTCACCAGTGGCAGGACTAGCAGCAGAGCCACCAAAGGAGCAGACATTTTCGTTCCCTCTTTCGCTTCTGTTAGGCTTCAATTTCTTGAGGTATTTTCAAGTGTTTTCTGTTTTCTGTGCCGCTTAGGCGCCCGTCAAAGTATGGAATGGAAGTTCCACTCTGTCGCAGTTGCTTTAGTATAGGGCTGATCGGACTCTTGTCACGTCCTCCAGCCACTCCGTCGCTCACTCACTCGCTCTACTCGACGAGTGTCGCCGCTCTGTTGCATGGCCCGCATTGTGGCTGGGCCGCCATTATAATCAGAGTGATGCTCATCATTGTCCTGTCCTTGTCACTTTTGTCATGGCTGCCACTTCTACTTCTTGTACTCCTTGTACTCCTTGCCTTTTTGTATTAATTTCATACAAATTTCACGCCAGCCTCTTGATTTTTTCCCCTGACAGCGCCCAGAAGTAGGCAATGCCTTTCGCTATTGTCGCCTCGTGCGGCTTTCTGCTTTCTGGCTTCTGTCTTGTGGTTTCTCCTTTCTTCTGTCTGTTTTGCGCCTTTCTGCTTTCGGCTTTCAGTTCGTTCTCCCCCTTCTATTTTCCTTTGAGCCTGTCTCCGATGGCAACGTTGTTTCACTGCTGCTAGCGAAAGGCTTGTTTTGTCCTTAACCAAATTATAATGTAATGCATTTCCCTTTCCTGTTCCTGTTCCTGTTCGTGTCGCTGTCGCTGTCACTGCAAGAAAATTAAAGAAACCGCAAAGGTGGAATTAGTTGGTGGGTAAATAATAAATATATTAATTTATAATTATCTTCCTATTTGTTCTTTTCGCTATAAATGTTAAATAATATCAATGATTATCTGTGTGACATCGCAGCATAAACTACAGTGTGGTCACGGTAAGTTGTACTCGATAATAAGGCTGCGACTGGCCGCTCATATATTTGGAAATATTTTCACGAGCGCCGCACAATTATTCAACTTAATGTGGGTTGCCTGCCAAATAAATCCTCAGCAAAAACAATCTCATTATTATGGCGCTACCTCGCCACAACATTGAGATGGGAGATATGCAAATACTCTTGTGTGAAAGGATAATGACATGACACTGTAAAAATTGCGTTGCTTTAATTGGTTGTTATTGCATTGTAATCCCAATTATTTGTCTGCTCATTGTATTTCACCTTGTCCTTATTATTCGCTTGTTATTCATATTCCTCGAAGGGTCATTCCCCAGCAGACAGCTGTGGGCGGCGGTGGTCTTTAAATTGCCCAAGGCCAGGACGACGTTTATGTTTGTCGAAATTAATCAAAGGACATTAGGCAGGCCGGCAGGAAAAACAAAAGACATGCCCGAACCAGAGACAGGCGGAAGCGATGGCAATAAACAATTGGGAATGTCAGGCATAAATCATGCAACATATTGCATTGTCCGGACAGAGCCTCTAGTTAAATAACAAATAAATTACAGTAAAATTAAGTTAAATGCAAGTTTATTGTGCGGCCCATGAGATAACATGGCGGAATACAATACCATAAAACAAAAGCCCCACCAGATCTGCGCAAGCAAAGCCTCGGACAGAAGCGAATAAAAAAGATGCCAGCATCTGAAGCGCCCTTCATTAGCCATCACCCAGCAGCCCGGGACCGAGACCGAGACCGAGACGGAGACCACCGACTGACAGGCTGAGTGGCTAGAGTTTCAGTTGGGGAAAATCTTTGAACAACAGCCTGGCGCCAAATGCAAATACGTAATGGATACTCGCCTACTTTGGCCAACAAATTGACTTGATTTGCTGCCACGGGTCCATTGTCGTTGGCCGAGCACCTGAAGGGGCAGGTCCTTCTGGCAGCGGAGACATTATTAATAAGCAAGCATTAATCATTGCGAGTGTATTTTCTATGGCCTAATGCTGCCGCAGCTGTTTAGCGCTTAACAAGTAATGGAAGCTCAGATTGCAGGTGAATCCCCGGACAGGTGAGCATGCATCGAGTCTGCCAAAGTCCTTGGCTTAAAGGCATTCAACAATGTTAATTAGAGAAATGTACGAAAATGTGATTTGGTTTTCCTTATTAGGAATTAGAAATAATTTGACAGCAATAGACAGAAAATGTCATGAAGTCTCCTTAGAGTTCATATTTCAATTTGAATTCGAATTAAACCTGGCTGCAAATCTCCAGCTGCTTTTCTATAATTATTTGCAAGTAAAAGATTTTAAAATCAATGATAAAATGTTTTCAAATCTCTCTTAAATGGTCATCTCAATGCCCACAAAAAGCCATCTAGCACTCAATACTATTTGCCATTAGTTGTAGATTTTTCATTACTTTTCTTACTAATTGGAGCTCCTGCTATTTTCAGTGAATTAAAGTTGAATGTTTCCGACTTTACGTTTGCAGCAAGCATTTTTTTAATTACATTTTGAGAAGTATTCCACTGCAGAAGTTTTACGAAATGAAATACTCTCTGAAATATTCCCATTTGTCAGCAAAACATTTTTTGACATTTTCATTTGTCAGTTATGAAGCAGACAGCCAGCGAGTTAGATGTGTGGCACATTTGTTACATCCTTATCACAAAATGATTTGACAGTCGAGACCAAGAGGCATTTGAACTGGCTTCCCTGTACGTGGCAATCCCACTTTTCCTCTCCTTTCCACTCTTTTTTTTTCTCTCTGCTGGCCTGTCTGGAAGTTTTTCTATTTTGTGTGATTTAATAAGATGACAAGGCAGCCTTGGGCCATTTGAGAGATTTGTTCAAGCTCTTGCAGGCAGCCTCTGTAAATAGATAAATATTTATTTTATTTCTGCCGAGCCCCAACATTGACACGTCCCCTAAACTGCTGTCATTCCATTGCCCCACCTCTGGACAAATCGAATAGGCATTTTTCGTAGCTGTCTGAGTCCCTTTGGAATTTTGCAGATACAACCAATAGATTTTGATGGAAATGTGCCAAGCACTTGGCCAATTTATTCGCCATCAAACCCCAAGGTAAACGCTTAAGCACTGTCGCTGTCGTTGTACCCACTAAAGTGCCAGCTAACAAGCTTCAAGTTAATTAAAAACTTATCAAAGGCCTACGCCAAGCGGCAATTTGGCTCAGCGCAAGGGCAAGCTAGTAATATTTTCTATAAATTGCCTTCCATTTAATATCAACCAAAAAGGCAGCTTTAATATTTTGTAAAGCTTTCGTCGAATTAGTCATGCAGTGCCCGGGGAACAAGTCATAACATGTGAAAATTAAAATTTACATCACGCTAACTTAAGCGACGTCCTGGCACAGACTCCTGTCCCGGCTGGGCGCTCTCTTTGGCAGGCCGAGCACTTCATTTGGCACATTGCCGTGCCCAGGCCAGCGAGTCGACGACAACAATTCTGCACCTCAGGTGCAGAGGTGCAGCCGCAGTGGCGACAACATGGCCATGGACATGGGCTGGCTGGCGAGGAGCGGCATTTTGTTGTCAAATGCATACATTTTTTACAACCTGCCTGAGCACTGGCACAACAGCAGCAACAGAAATCGCAGCAGTGGTCATAAAACTTATACCTTTCCCTACGAATTACGAATAAAATATGCATCAGAAATAAGCTGCAGCTGAGTCCGAAAGGTGCCCACAAATACCACAATTTACAACCAAAAAAAAAAAACAATTCCAATTCCAAGACAGAAGTAACCAATCGAGTGGCTGGACTTTAGGACTTTCTGTCGGACTGTGATTTATTTTTGTGGTTAGTTCAAAGAGTTTCTTGCAGGGTATTCCCGCTTCGGTTTGTCATTAAGGACATGCTCCTCCACAAACACAAACACAAATACAGATATGAATATGAAACAAGAGTTGGGAGAAATTCCAACTTTGCCAGCTGGCGCTGAAAGCTTTAAGAGCCTCACGCCCTGCGAGCAGCGCATAAAAAAATCAACTAATTTTCCTTTTATGCTGCTGCTGCTGCTGCTACGAAAAAAAAGAGAGAATATTTTGAATTCAAGTGCGCCAGACACGCACACGCACAGGCCCAGGCCCACACTAACAGCCTCTAAAATTTTAATAGCTCACACATTATAAACGCAAATAAACGCCAGCCCAAGGACTCGTCTCGGGCCAGGCTCCACGGCTCCTTACATTCCTTCCAGTGAGCATTTCTGCTTGCTGCTTGCTGCTTGCTGGTGTTGTACAATACATTTGCCTAGCAGCTTAAGCTGTTTGTGGCATGTGCACTTAGACGGCACTGAACGGCGGAGACCGACATGAGCTGGCGCGGAAGGGGGAATAAGTTCGCCGGCTTCCAAGCTACAAGTTTTCCCAACGTCCAGCGCACACTTAAGGGGATTTCTCTTTGCTTCTTTTCCCACACTTTCAGAGAGTATTTTGATTTTTGCAACAGGAAAGTTGCTGATTTTGTCTGTGTTTCTGGCTGAGAAAACCATTACTTAGTCTAGGAAAAATGCCAGCAGCTTTAAATAAGATAAAACCAGAAGAGTATCTCCAGCTTCGGCTATCAAATGTGGAGCCCCTTTTCTCCTGCAACTTAAAGGCACTAAAGTTGCACAAAATTAAGCATACTTCCCGGCGCTCAGCATCATATTATGCGTATCATTATGTTTATGCCACGACCATGAGTATATGTTAGCCCCTAATGTTGTTGCCTTTTTCCTGGCCACAGCTGCTCTCCCGAAAAGTTCATTCTCCCGAGGTGTTTTGCCCTAAAACTTACATAAAAGGAGAGGTGTCGCTGGCAGGGCGCAAACTTCTTAATTGCCTTTCAAGTTTCGCAAATACTGCGTAAAAAAAAAAGCTTCGATCTGGACACAGTATTTGGTGTTGCTTTCGAAATTGTTTATTAATAATAGCACTTTCTGTTGTTTATTAGCTTTGTACATCCCGTTTTTGTATGCAGATTAATTGCTTTTTAATATAAGCCAAAACTTTTGAAAGGCACAACAGCTGCAAAGGGGAAACATTTTTGCATAGAATTGGGCGAAATTTGTGTTCCATTTTGCTGCTCCCAACACACCCCAAAACGAATATTGACCGCTCGAATAAGTTGTTCGCGAAAGTTTCAAAGTTGCGGCAACCAAACTGAATTATTTTGTTGATTTTTTCGGTGTAATTTTGCTTTCAAAACTTTTGCCTCCAAAGCTAAAGCCCGAGTCCTGAAAAGTGTGAAAGGTTTATATTATTTTAGACATATTTGCATTGTTCTTGGCTTGTGCTGGAACCCACAACACAACACATGACTGATAAAGCTTATTTTTCTTATGCCATTCAAATGTAACACAAAAACCTTTTCATCTCTGCCTTGTCTGTCATTTTATTGGCTCTGCGTAATGTTTAATTATAGCTTGATAGCTTTTCCCTTCCCCTCTTTTGGCGCATAAACATAACGCAGTTTATATTTTATTTATTTGTTTCCCCTTTTTTGCAAAAAAAGCAATCATAAAACCCTGCCGAAGCGCAGCGTCTGCCAAACGGTTTTATGACATTCTCTCTGCCCTGGGATCCTTCTAAAGCCATCACACATGCGGCTGGGGGTAATTTGGCATAAAAAATTGGGAGCACAGGCTCGTATTTGTGCAATTTCACAGAAATTGTCAATTTGCACCCACCCAAAGTCTAAGCCGGAATGATGATGACGAGCAATGCCGGCAGGCGGCATTCATTGCCCCAGTGGGCTCTAAGTAGATAAGAAAGGAGCCACTGGGACGCGGGCACGCGTTGAGATTTTGTTGTGTCTGTGGAGTGCATTGCAAAATCGACTGTTGGCATTTAACGCTGCAAAGTCGACCGCATTTATGTGTTGGGGCTTTGGCCCAGACTTTATTTGATTTGCATTTCATTTCACACACTAGACACCGCCTTCAGAATTGGCACAACAATTACCCCGGCAAGCGGGAGCCCCGACCCCGGCACTGGCTGCGGCACGGGATATTTGCCATCTGCAATGCACTAACAATGGCCGCCTCAATGGCACGTAATTGCAGTGCACACAGGCGCACCGCGCACAGTGGGGCAAACTGGTGAGAAGGAGTTCCTCTGTCTATTGTTGTGTCTTTGACAACTCCGTTCCACAGTGCCGGCAACTACTGTGCTCTATGGCAACATATCCTTGCAACTAGCGCTTCCGTTTCCGTGCGTCAAGGGGCAGAGACTCTTGCTCTCGCTCTGCCTCTTGTGCCTTTGCCTGGGCCTGCTGCTGCTTCTTTTGCTGTTGTGGATGCCACTTCAGACGGCCTTTGTTGTCGCTTGCCGTGTGAATGAGTGCAATTAGCAGTGCCACTTGCTCTCAACGATGCCGCTTTGTTTGCTGTCCGGCCGGGACTGATCTGCACCGAGAGTTGCATTAAAAATTAATTGTCCCCTGGTCTTCTTGTCTCTCTCTCTCTCTCTCCACATTGACATTGTTTCGGGTCGTGATTGTGCAGCACAAAAGTCGATTAAACAGGAAAATGGAGTCTGCTCGTAATCAAAATATTTCTGCTACACACCATTAAAACTTCATCCAAAGAGCTGACGCCACTTTTGCTTTGTAATTTGGTTTACTTTTAACGAATCCAGAATTATGGCTAAGGTTATGGCTGAGCTTCTGTGAATCTTTATTTAAAGGCCATCCATCGCCATGTATTGGCATTTTCTAGGCTTGAACAGTTTTTGATTAAAATTACATTTGTTGCCCGCCTTTGAAGTGTCCGGCCGCCTAGGGCTCAACACTCTCCTCAAGAGGGTCAACATTTTGCCAGCTTAGGAAAGGGCACGTGAGTCGAGTCCACAAGGAAAATGGCCAGGGGAGAATTTCCACCCAAATTGTGGCTGGCCAGTTTCCTGTTTGTCTTTCTACCTTTTTATTTTTCCTTGTGTGGTGGGTCTTTGGGCCACGTTAAGGTCCTGATGGATTGTTTGACTAATTCATTTTGCTACAAAATGTGGCCAAAGTTATTAAATTTTTAATGGACGCTTAAAGGCCCGCAGGCCCGCAGGCGCTTTATGTGTTTTTATTTTGCAACGGCCATCTGCTTAGCATTTAAAGTGATTTTAATTTGGATTTTCCCTCAATGCTATTATGCTCTCCCCTCCCGCTGTCGTCTGTTTCTCCCTTCTTTTGGCTCTCAATTATTTTGCCATTGACAATTAGAGACTTTCGCCGCTGCTGCCGCATCTAATGCGATTTGGCCTCATTATTCTGTACAATTCAGTTCAGTTTCCGTCCATTTTCCAAGAGAATTACATTTGATTCATTGAGTTCCTTGGCACCATTCTCGCTCAGCTCCTTGGCACATGAAGTGTCAGGACAAGCCGGGCAAATGGTCGTGTCTAATAGAATTTTAAAAGGAGTTTTCTTCAGAGATTATTTTGTTGTAAACTATTCCGAATAAATGAATAGTTCTAAAAGTCACAATTTGAATGCACCGCGCGGAAAGTTCCATCAAAATTTGCAGTTTCCCCAAAGACTGTCGCAAGCCCCTTTGATCTTTTGCGTGCAGAGGGGAAATCCAGTGAACCAAAAGGCCAAGAGGCGCCCAAGAGGGACAGAGAGGGACCGGCCTGTCCCCGTGGACATGCGAAAGCCTGAAGGACGGAAGCGTCGCTCCCAAACTCAACTCTTTGATCTGTGTGCCATTGTCAGTCCGGCGACTAATTGGCGTTAATTTCGTATGCCCTGTGCCATATGTTCCCTTCCCTAGACTCCACTGATATGCTGGCAAGTTGCACATGCGTTTAATTAGTCGACAATCTGCTCAGCTGTCATCTGAGACTGCGAAATACTGATATTTCCAGATAGCTACAACAATTTGTCACAGTTTGCCAGTGGAAATGGATTTGCTCCAGTGCTAAAATAATCAGCGAGAGAGACATAGCTCTATGATGCTGCTGTAACTGGTGGTGCAGAGCGTACAGAACAAGTGCCAAAGAACGGTTGGTAGTCCCACCAATTAGCAATCATTTATTCCTTCTTAAAGATTCTTACAGCGCAATGGTGTCGACCTGGAGCTCTTGCTACTTGTCGGCAATCATTTGCATGGCATTGGTCTGCAGTGTGAGCGAAGCGGCTGACGTCCATTGTCCACCTTGGCCAAGATGTACGTACATTAAGAAGTGCTGCCAGCGTGCACAGAATAGCATGAGATCGCAGTTGGTTTCACTTCAAGACAGAGAATATAATCCAAAAAGGATGCCGAAACTGACCCAACGCAGCTGAGTATTTGGCGGCTGTACAACTGGAAACATCTCCTGCTCCTTGATATTTGTATTTGCGCAACAAAAATAGAAACTGTGAAATGGGAAAATTGTTGTTTGTATCGCGTGTACAAACTGTAACAAACTGATTGCCAGAAACAGTTCCATTTTGCTTCACGTTTGTGCATTTTATTGATTACAAATATTGCTGCGACATGTTTTCGAGCTGGAAGTGCTTGCTTATTGCGTTAATGGTGTTTCTCGCATTGATCGATCCTCTTTCCTGCAAGGACGCAAAAATAGCGAAATTGTGCCCGCCCTGGCCAAAGTGTCGCAGGTTAAATAGATGCTGCCAGCGCACCAGGAACAGATCTGTAAAATCCAAACGTACAATAAACTTGACTTAACTTTTGCCTAAACAGAGTCGAGAAGCAGAGTCAGCATAATGAGCACAAGCTGTCCCCCAAATTTGAGTTTATGAATGGGACTTTTGCTGCACTTGTGCTAATTGTGGGGGCATGCAGCTTGCAGCTTCCAGTGTGGCAGACTGGCAGCTAATTTTTGCCAGCTGTCAGCGCTCTTCATATAAATCTTTCAAAGTCAACAGCATTGCACCCACGTGCCACATCAGTTCGCATTCATGTCTGTCGCACGCACTCTCCCAGTGTCGTATCCATCACTTTTGCAATCGTCAGTGGTGTCACCGCATGCAACGTCGCTTATCGCTCAGCTCTGTAATGATGGCAGCGGACCCCAAAGTCACCCATGTACCATCATCCATCTGCACGAACTTCTGTTGTACATTTTTCATAACGCAATTCATGTGCCAGCGACAAGACTTCGTGCCGCTCAAAATCTTCCAAAGGGAAAAATGCGGCACAGTGGTTGCAGATAAGTTTTATTTGATAATCAGAGATTTTTAACCCCACACATTCCGCTGGGAAAATCATTAATCGAATGCACAAACTTTTCTGTTTAACAATCGAACATTTGTGCATATTTATAGCTGGTGCTGGTGCTGGTCCTGGTCCACTGTGCGTTGTCATAAAAATTGTCTCATTAATCATCGCACGACACGCTGGAGCTCTTGTGCTGTGTGTGCTTTGGGGTGTTCTGCTATTTCTGTGCTGTTTGCAGGAAACATGGACTTAGTGTGAAAATCCAGCGAGCAATTAAATTGGCTCCCCTCTGGCGGAGCATCGCTGCAGTTCCATGCCCACTCCCGAGTGCAGGGAGCATAAATCAAAGGAGCGCTTCCCCCCCCCCAAAACCAGACGATGGAAATGGCAGTTTTATTTTTATATTCCATCCATGGACGTGGCACTATAAATTGTCTGTGCCGCATTTAAAAAATAGCAACTAATTAATTTATTTTTTCACGCCCTGGCTGGGAAGTGCGCATTAATAAACAATTAAGTCGTTTTAATTGCAGTTTGCCTTGTGGATTATAAAGTGCCGAGTGAAAATCGCACCGCTACCCGCCAGCCAGCAGCCATAATGAGCGAGAGGCTGGTTCTCCTCAGCTTCAGAGCCAGCTAAAATTCGTTTATTATTGATCAGTCTGGGCCATAAGCTGCTTAGCCTGGCCTCGTGCCCGTTCCCCAGAGCGGGCACCCCAGTCCGGGCGGCTCCTGGAAAATGTTTTCTGCTCTTTTGGCTAATCCAAAAATCTGCACAGCACACACACACACACGAGTATGGACTTGGTAATTTAATTTGTGATGCATTGATAATGGAAAGCCCTGCCCTTCTTAAAGTATCGAAAATTGTCGTAATTTCCACACAAAGTTTGTATAAACTCAAATTTCAAAGGCTCCTTTCTGTGAAATGAAATTTTCCACTTGCAAACTTTTGCCTTTGTCGAAGGTTTTGTTTTGAGTCATTTTGTACGAAAGATTCTTGGAAATAGAATTCATTTGATGAGCAACCATTAACATACCTTTCTAGAGTTGAGCTTCAGTTGAAGAAGATCTGCAAGTAGAGAGGAAATAACTCATTTTAATATTATAATTAATTCAGTGAAAAGTCCTGCTCAATTTTCCCAGAATACTCGAGTCTGACACTCCATTTGCCTCCTCTCGCTGTCATCTGGGCAAAGTTAATATGTAAGGACACGTTAAGCAGGCTTGAATGATGTGTATCAAGGACGAAGGGAAGAAAAACTACCAACTGTGTCAGCAGAAAATGAAGGAACAGAAAGAACAGTGCCCAATGCAGTGTCTGGTGAGACATTGATGGGAAAAGGGGGAACAAGGCCGAGAGGAAAACAAAATGGGAATGACGATAGACATTGAACACGAAAAGGGAAACTGGAGCGAAGACATTAGCCACGAATGACAGCAGCCAGAGATACAAGATAGACACTTGGCTTATATCCGTATGCTGCTCGATGGCAACATGCAACCGAAAGGCGTCGAAAGTGCGTGCAGCAAATTGAGGCAAGCTCGGTGAACAAATGCCAATTGACAGGCAGATGTACGAATGCTTTCAATGGCAATTCTGCCCTAGAAATTCAGGGATTTCTAAACAATTTGAAAGGCACAAAATGATGGCAAAATGCATGCATTTTCCCGAGCTTAAAATATATTTTTGAAGCACTATTTATTAGCTCTTATTAGCTGCTGAATGCCGTCTGTAATATAGTTCGTGGACTGTACACAGCATCCAACATCATCGCCCTGAGCTCATTTCAGGCTTTCACGCAATGCATTTTCTGTTCAGCCTTAGTCGGAGCCAGAGCCTGAGCCAGATGGAGTCTTAGTAAGCAATCTGTAACATGTTGCCCGTTTGAGTTGTTCTATTGAAAAGCGTTTTTCTGGCGCAAGGACAGATGGCCTGCTCTGGGCTCTTGGCCTACATCCCCATATTCATCACTCACTCACTTAGTCAGCGTGCTGCCTCAGAGGCTGAGGATCGAGTGGGTGGTGGTGAGTTGGTGTGGCCCCGCCCAGCCCAGCACAGCAGCCAAAGACGATGCTCCTTCGTCATCATCGTCTTCTTTTTGTTGGGCAAATACGCCATCTGGCAGAAGGCTTTTATTTCCCATTTCTAGCAGAGTCCTAAGTGCAGAAGAGGAGAGCGAAATGCCTTTCATGCCCTTGCCTTTAGTTTAAATATTTATGCAGGCGCGGGCATTTGATGAGAAATATTTCGCAATTGCTTCTACAGGCGGCTCTCAAGTATTTTGCTTTTATTATTATTGAAATCCGGGGCCTAGGCTTGCTTATGGCAAGTATTTTCTTCATCTGCTGCTGCTTGCACTTTGGCCTGGATACCCAAGGGATTGCTTAGCACTTTGCCTTTGATTCCGAATGCAACGATAAATCTCCATAATCATTTGGGGCTATGCAAATTGATTGCGAATTGAAACGGAGAAACTGACACCTTCGTTCAATTAAATCATTGTGGCTGCCATTCCATACGCACTTCCAGAACAATATCCAGCACACTGCCACTGTTCGTGGTAGGGCAATTTTTCAAGAGATAAAATCAAGACCAAACAAATCAAATCAAATGCAGACAGACACAGACAACACAATGGAAACTACAAGCAACAAAACGTGTTACAGCAAACAAGGAAAGTAAATTAATAGAAAACAATAACCATTCCCTTTATTATTATTACTGCAGTGAGACTTCCAAGTGGGTCTCTAGATTCGAATTTGTTTTTCTTTTCCTTTTTGTTACCCTCACAGAGAGTACTTGAATTTTGATCAGGTTTATGCTGTGCGGAAAAGTTTGCATAATCCAAATGGATTTATTCTGTTCTGCGGAATCCAGCTAATAAATATTATTATGGAACAAATCAGTATTTGCTAGTAGGAAATTACTTTTATCCACTGCTTAGTGAGCGAATTGTCTGCCAGGGTATGCAAAGTTTCGCCAGCTAAAGTTCGAGTTTCTTTCTTGTGGGCACAAGTGTGGTGTTTGGTGATGTGGCTGTCTGTGCATGTGATTTACACAACGGTTTGTTGGTGAAATACAAATCATGTTGAACGCATACGGCCTTGCCCCAAAAGCATGCCACACAATCAGAGCTTCCCATGGGTAAGGTGTGCCCCCTGCCTGATGGCTGATATCTGGGGGGAATATCTGAGGTTTTGTCCTGCCAAATGGCAGAGTGTTTCTCTTTTTTATAAACTCTCTGCAGCAACAGCAGCACGCACACCTACCAAGAAATCAGCCACGACTACAAAAAAAAGAAGAGAGAGAGAGAAATAGTAAAGTGGGATAAAAGTCTCACAAGGAAAACTTTTGCCAGGTGCTTGCCGGTGTGTTGTTGTGGCATTACGTGCATTGCATGTCGAATGTTGGTAGCAAAGTCTAAAAAACATCAAACACAAACATCTAGCTGCGGCAACTTTATCTAAAGTACAATGTTGTGCCCTCAGCTCTTTGGTAGCTGTAGCCCCAAAGCAGTTTCATGTTGTAATACCCTACGCAAATGGTACTATGATTCAGAGTAGATGCTGCCACAGAGACTATTGTCCAAGGGTACCCAAAGGTCGTTGCAGCTTACACCATCCTTTTCTGTTCTTGTTTTTTCCAGCCCGATTTGTGACCAGAATGTGGCAGTCCCATCGTGTGAGCTCTTTATCATTTCTTGTTGTTTTGGCCAAGAATTCAGCTGCTTTAAGCCGAAAACGAAACTGTTGTTGGTCGCCCCCCCCCNCCCCCCCCCCCCCCCGTCTCATGTTGGTATTTTTGCTATCGAATTTTATTTACTTTACCCACCCGTTCGTGTCGTGTTTGGCCGCCTTGCAAATGGCACACCAATGATTTTTAATGCGATTTCAAACAAAATAAAAATAAATTTAAAAAGCATTACATGAAGCAGTGCGCCCGTCGCTGTAGTGTTTGGATCCGGCTGTTTCGAGCGGCTTTAGCCTGACAGGGCAACCTTTTTTAAGTGGCTCTGCCTGCCGCCTGGCCCATGGAAGTGGCTCGTATTCGGTTTCGGTTTCGGTTTCGGCTTCGGCTTGGGTTTAGTTTTTTTTTTTTGTCGGGCTGAGATAATGTGTGGACGTGGGTGCCTGGAGAGTGACTTTATTTAATGCCATTAACGCAAATTGAAAGTTTTACGCTTTTAAGCCCCTTCTCCCTGGCTCTGGCTCTGGCCCTGGCCGTTGCATGCGCAATTGAGTTTTTTGGGTCTCTGATTCGTAATGCGTTCTTTATGACATTTCATCGGATAGAAATAGTCAAGGCAGGGGCCATATAGCCTGCGCATATAAAGGATTTGCCGTAAAGCCATTCATTGGCTTGTATAATTCACTTTTGCCTCACTCATTAACCTGCTCCTGAGTGCCGCACACGCAGTGTGTGCTCGGAATAAGCCAAATCCCATCACGAGCCGCGTACGTAATTGTGTTGCCAGAGAGACACCTGCAGTGGGCCAAAAATAGAGAAACTAGCTCGGCCCATTCACATTTTCTATGGCCCCTCTATGGCTGACAGCCGCCAAGGACGCGGCTTGGGCTTTATTGCCAACACTTTGTCGCCGCTGGAAGCGCAGGCGACAGTGGCAACCCATTACAACTACTTAGGGCATGTAAATAACCCAGAAATAAGCCAAGGCGAGTGATGAGCAGGTAACCAGCATACCCGCTAGAACAAGCCACCAGTCTGCGAACCACTCCATCCACTCCATCCACCCTCCCCCAGCCTGTGAAGCATTAACATAATCGTTATGGTTATGCGCGACGTGTGCATAATGGCCGAAGCAGGGAAGAGAGAGAGAGAGAGAAGAGCTCCCTGAGAGCCAAGACACAGACTGCGACTGCGACTGCTACAGCGACAGCGACACAAGGATAAGGAATAAAAAAATAAACTATGTTAAGTGCGCCGACATTGTGATATATAGTTAGCTCCACCCTTCGCAGGGCAACAGCTACTGTTGCTTTTTCGGAGGTATTTACCTGATGGGATTATATTTTTTCCAAGTATATTACACTGAGAAAACGCTGCAGAATCAGCAGAGTTTTGGGTTTCTTATTTGCATATGTTATAGAGAAAAGTATTTGGGTTTCTTTTAAGCGAAATTGAGGGTAACCGCTTCAAGCAAATGCTTCTATAAGTCACCTTAGTGGAAAATCTTTCTTGTACTTCTACTTGTACTTGTTCGGCTTTAAATTTCCATTTGCCATTTGCCAGGTGTGCATATGAAGTAGCTGCCATGTGGCATACTTTTCGGTAACACTGTAGCATACCACAAGCAAAAATACAAAATACGAGTAGCCCACTCCAGCTGGGTTTTGCCAATTGCGATCCCTAGACAAAACACCAAAACGAGCAAGGGCGAATTCGCGTCACTGCGAATTCCAAACGCAAAGAGAAAACGCAAAGAGAAAACGAATTCCAAACGCGAGAGCGCACGCAAAGAGAAAACGAAGGAGAGCGAATTCAGAGCGAGAGCGGACAACCGATCGGCGAGAGAGCGAGACCAGACGACGAACGACGCAGAAATCGAATTCTTGTACCGTTATATATACATTATATACATTATAAGAGCACACAGCCAGTTCTTGGAAATAGTACAAGAAAATGCGAACTTAAGAAAGAGAAAAAGAGAGCGAGAGAGCTTAGTCTGGAAGATGCTTAAGATTCCACGTGCATAACTTATGAAATAAAAATTAAAATTCCAATTGCAAACGGCACTAATAAAACATTTTGAAGTGCTGCGCCTGCGTCTGCACACATTGCCGGCCCAAACGGTGGCACAGGTCAGGTCAGACACAGTGGAGCAAAAGCAATTATTTTAGGCAAGAAAAAAAGGAGTACACAAATTTGTAGCTAAAGAAAATGCAGATAAATCTTCCAATACAGCAGGAACCAAATATAAAATTCTCAAGCCACAGCAGAGCATCTTTTGAAGCCACAACCTTCCACTGTGCGTATACATATGTACATGTATGTGCGTGCGTATTTCTGGTTGTGTCTCCGACCGACACACACATACATTTCCAGAGGAT